TGCTTGCACTACCGGGCCGGCTCCAACTGTTTTCAGCTTTTAACCTATGAGGAGACTGAGGCTCTGAGAGAGGGTTTGAAGGCCAAGTCACAGAGTGGTCAGTTAGCAAGGCCCCAGTCTCTGGAATCCCAGTCTCGGTCTCTCTCTGCAACAGCAGGTTCCTTTGTTTCTTCCTCCAAGACTGGTATGAGTCTGGAAGATCCAGAGAGAGAGGGTGCGGGCAGAGCAGGGAGTGACCACACACGGAGGCTGCCCTAGCTTGGCATTGCTCAGGAGGAGTCCTGCCCAGAGCCAGCCCTCCCACCTCCCACCCCAGGCCTGCACAGTCACAGACCCCACCTCACAGACCTGGGCTGAGGGAGGGGCCTGGTTCATCCTCCTGGCTCTGTCACCTCCAGGGATACTTTGAGGACTCTCATGGAGGGTACCCAAGCTGTGTTGCAGGGGAGGTGCCCAGGAAATTGGGGTGCACCCCTCGGCACCCAGATCCCTCCAGCAGAGGCTGCAATGACTCTAACCAAAACCCCCAGGCCTGGAAAGGGACACCATTACCCTCTGCATGTGGGTAGCCCTGGGAGAGGCCTGGCGTTCCAGCAGAAGCCTCAGCTGGGAGAAGGCCTCCAAGGCGACTGCAAATGCTTGTGGCAAGTTTTAGCAGCCTGCGCCTCAGGAAGACGTGGGACAACCTGGCAAGAGGCAGTTTCTGCCACCGGGAGGAGGGGCGCACACATGTGTGTGCTGGGGATAGCAGACCCTGGAGACAACCTTGAGACCTCCTTTTGGAGGGGTGGGAGCTGATGTAAGCCCTTGGTCCCCTAAGGGATCAGGACGGAGGGACCCCAATTTGGCAAAGGACAGTGGGAAAGGGAAAGAAAGCCTGCCACAGTGAAACAGGAGCGTGGGTTTGGGCAGGAGGTGGCCCGGCATGGAGCCTCAGTTTTCTGGTTTACTATTAGCTATGACTTTGGACAAGAGATCTGATCGCTCTGAACCTTGGTTTTCTCATCTGTAAAAAAATAGGACTTGGGATATTTACCTCACAGGGTGGCTGTGTGGTTTGAAACAGATAACGCATGTCAAGTGCTCAGCACAGCACCTGGTACCTAGAAATATGGTCAGTAGGTAATAACTACATAACTGACTGATTTATGTTGTGCAGTTATCTGTCTCAGTCCCACTAGAAAGCTCACCATCCATGGAGGCAGGGAGGTTTGTCTGCCTGTTCACTGCTGTATCCAAAGAGCCTAGAAAGAGCCTCTAAGGTAGGCCCTCGGTAAACACCAGCAGAATGAATGAAAGATCGAACAGAGGGAGTGATCTCTCTGAAATGCAAATCTCATCACGGCACCCCCAGTGAAGACCTGCTCCATGGCTTCCTTTCGCATTTGAAATCAAGAATGGTGTTTCGTAACAGGGTCTCCATCAGGCCTTGTGGGTCTGGCCCCGGCCCCTCTCTGGTTGTGAACCAGGCTCACTCTCTGAGCAGCAGCCCAAGGGCATTCTGTTGGTTCCTCAAATATGCTGTGCCCCCTCTGACGAGTCATACAAACCCAGTGGATTCCTATTTATCCTAACAATGATCTCAGCTCAAATGTCACTTCCTTGGGGAAGTCCTTCAAGTGCCTGTTTTTTGCACTCACAGAAATCGCATTTCTTTCCTTCCAAGCACTAATCTCAGAGAGTAATTAAACACGCCTCAGTGTGACGATTACCGTCTTCATCCTCTGTAAGACCCCAACTTTGTACCCAGAGGGACAGTACTGGTTTGGGCCACCAGTGAAGCCCCAGCACCTAGCCCAGGGCCCGCCCACAGATACGGTTTGTTGAATGAATGAGCTGCTGCAGAGCCTGGCTGTGTGAAGCCCCTGGAGCCCATTGCCTGGCACATGCACGTACCACTGAGCACGTCGGGACTGATGTAGGCGGGGCTCCCCCTCTGGTCCTTCAGCAGGTCCCCCTCACTCACGAGATGCTTCCCGAGGCAGAAGTTGGTGATGGTTATCCGATGCGTCCTAGAGCAGGAGGCAGAGTGAACACACCTTGGCGTCTGTACCCACGGGCACCCCCGCTGCCCCCATCCCCCCCCATCCAGGGAGCATCCTTTCCTGCTGCCCTGGCCCTGACTGCCTTCTCCATGGCTGCGTGGGACGTGCCACTGGGGGGCGACCAGTCACCCTCGGCTGCCCCCTGCTGAGCTGTCCAGCAGGGAGCTGCATCACTCCAACCAGGGGAGTGTTTCAGGAGTGCTCCCCCAAATCTGCACCCTGGCTGAGTCTCAGGGGTAGAGATTAGGGCTTGAACAGCTGGTGATTTCCCAAACCACCTCACATGATCTCTAGACTGACAGTAACAAGAAACTCAGTTCAAGTCCCTCATTTACACGTGAGAAAAAGGAAGCCCGGCAGAGCTTTGAGGTCCACGCTTGGTGGCCACTTCTGTCCACTCTGCTGATCCCTTTGGTCATCACCCTTGCCGTTACCAGTCAGCGTCACTGGCAGTGCTCAGAGCCAACGCTTACTGAGCACTGGTAAGTGCAGGCTCAAGGGCTGGATGGGGATTGTTTTTATGCACCCCTCACAACAGCCTACAAGGAGACCTTATCACTGCCCTACTTCGCAGATGATGCAATGAAAGCACAGAGAAGTCAAGGGACTTGCCTAGGGTCACACAGCTAGTGAGTGGTGGAGCAGGATCCAAACCCAGGTCTGTCTGACCCCAGAGCCTGCACTCTGCACTGACACCGGCCGGGTGCCCACTGTGTCCCCGGACAGTGCTCAGCCCCTGACTTTCCCTTCTTTTCCATCAAGGCTGACTCAGCTCTTGTCTTGTACTTCAGGCTCTGCCCTGACCTAGAAAACTGTATTCCTCCATCTGAGAGAGTCACGGGTGAGAGCAGCGTGGGTCCTGATCCTTTCAAGAAGATTCATGATGTGAACAAAGGAAGTGGCCCAGAGAGGATACCTTATACCACAACTGGGGATGCGGGGGGGGCAGAGGGGACCCTCCAAGACCCCAGGAAGGCTTCCTCACCCCGTAGGGGAGGGCCAGTGAGGAAGGGCACCTCTCTACCGACAGACGCAGGGGCCACCTGCCCGCCCCCGTGTCCACTGGCTGGCAGAGAAGCAGGGAGGATGGCAGGAAGGGAAGCCCCACGAGGGGTCTCAGGCTGCCTTTCAAGGGTTGAGAGGAGGTTGGCTCAGAGGCACGGGGTGTGTGGGGCTGAGGGTGGAATTCCCCAGGAGCCGCGTCCAGAAGGCCCCAAGAGCCCTTGAGCTATCTCGGGGAATTCTGCTGGCAAGGGGCTTGGTGCAAAACCAAGGCCAGTCTGCCCTCTGCACTCCAACCGGAAACGTGGACGCGTGCTCCGCACACGCCCGCCTGTCGGATGCCGCAGAAATCTGACTGGTGGCCCCCGGGGCAGCTAGAGCCTGAGAGCACAGGCAAAGGGTCTCGGCCAAGGACCATGACAAGAAGTGGACCTCTCCACTGGAACTGCTATATCACTGCCCTGCACCTGGGACTGCTTAGGCCTCTCATCTGCAAGGTCCCCACCAGGCAGAAGCACTGCATTTTCTCCCCTGGCTCTGAGACGGCCACTGCAGCTGGAGGCACGAGACACTGGGAGGAGGACGGCTCAGGGGAGAGTCTGGTGGACGTGGGAGCCAGATTCCCGGGTTCCGGTCCCAACTCTGCCACTGCCTGGCTGTGTAATCTTGGACATGTTATTTAATCTTTTGCTAAACCTCAATTTCCTCATCTGTGAGACAGGGAAAATATTAGCACCTAACTCCCAGAACGGTGTTAGGATTTAATAAGATAAGAAGATAATCCCAGGAAAGCACCACGCCCAGGGCCGGGCAAAAAGTAATCGATTACTAACAGCTGGCTCAAACCATCACCGCATCCTCAGACAGTGAGCACACTTGGCAGAGGCTACCGGCAGGAGACCCCAGGAAGGACACCATCTCTGCTGCAGCGGGAGAGGGTGCCACATTGTGTCCACAGGCCCTGAGGTGCACACACAAGTGTGGCCTGAGCTCTCCACTCAGCTCTGCTGGCAGACTCGTCAGCCCTCTGTGCGTGGGGCAAGGCAGGTGGGGCTCGAGGAAAACACGGCTGAGACACTGCAGGCAGGGCTGGGCAGCAGGGCCAACTCAGCCTGTGCTGCTCTGCCCGCTGAGGATCCTGGAGTCTCTCCCACAGGAAACCACACGGTCAGCTCCGAGACCTCTTGAAGCTTGGCAATGCTCCCCTGCCCTGCCACCACCACCCAACTTGGCTGGGTGGCGCACAGACCCCTGGGAGTCCCAGACCCCCCAGGTTCATCCTGGCAGGAGGGGGCGAGGGCAGCGAGGGATGGAGGGAGGGAGCTCTGCGTCAGCAAGATCTGCTCTGAGTGAGTCACTCTTTAGCTATGGCCCTTTGGGCTACCACAGTGTTTTTCTCCTTTTCTAGGAACTTGGTGTGCAACTTGCCTACCCAAAAAAAAAAGAGGAAGGAGAAAGAACCCACAGCAAACCTCACATAACCCCAAAAGGGGATTTCAGACTTCAACCTTTGCCTCCTACCAAAGCTGGGTGAACTTGTCGCTGTAGCTGCTTCGCAAACACTTCTCCCTGTCCCCTCCTCAGGGAGTGCAGATGAAGGCCTCCAACTTGTCCGCTGCCTCTGCAGCTGGAGGCAGGGCCTGGCCTGATGGGCAAGAAGGGGCTGGAGCTCTTCCAGGTTGACCCTCAACTTGGCAAGGATGAGAGTGAGGCCCAGGGAAGGGAGGGTGTGCCCATGGCCACATGCGGAGTGGGCCCTGGGCGTCCAGTGCAGGTTTCTCTGCACCACACCATCCTGCCCCTTTCCAGAGCACCTAGGACTCAAGTGAGAGGCAGCCAGAACTTCTGTTTGTCCCAAGACACAAAAAGGGGGATTATCAGATTAAAGGAAGTGCAGCCAAGACGCGGGGTCTGAATGAGGTATTGGTGCCCTGCAATCTGAGGAAAACACACACGTGCACACACATGTACGCACACACAGACACAGACAATCCTCACTACGTTCCCAGAACCTAGGAGGCGTGGAGAAGCGCAAGTCAGAAGCAGACCAACCATGGAGACAAAGAGGGCTGGAGAGCTGTGTGGTTAGCAGCGCCCGAGCCTGACTGCGCGGTCCCATCACAACCCCCCGGCGTGCTCATTTGGAAGGCTAGAGGATGTGGGCTCCACAGCTAGATTTGACTTAGCTGCTCAAAATATATGCCCTCTCTTTGCGAGCAGTGGGCCTCCAGCCCAGAGCAGGATGGTGACTGGCCCATGTCCCACAGGAGGCCGGGGCCCGAGGCTCCCTACACTAAGACAACGGGCTCTCAGGGCTGGATGGCCAGTGTTCTCCAACACCTGCCCTCCTCACGCAGTTCAGAGCTGGGGCCGTGCCACTGCTGGCCTCACCCTCGCGTCCTCATTAGCCACTTAGCACTCGGCGGGCCTCACCTCCAGAGGGAAGTGAGCGTGCGCACCCTCCAGTCCCTGGCTGGTCTGGCATGAGGGGGCACTTACGACAGGCCAAACCCTGCAGGCAGTTTCACATCTCAGGCTGATCTCTGCAGGGAGGTCTAGTCTCCTCCGCTTTCACAGATGAGGAAACGGGAGCTCAGAGAAGCGCCTGGTACCACGGCAGCGTCTCAATACGTGAATGAATTCATCAATGAATAAATAATCAAACAAACAAACTCTCCCGGTCTCAAGGGTAACTAAGAGGCAGTGCTGGGCTGGGGGCCAGGTCTGAGCCCCCAGTCCTGCTCCTACTCAGCTTCCCTAACTCTCTCACCCAGCCAGTCAAGGGTTCCAGCAGCCCTGGAATTTCCGTTTCCTTCCCTCCTCCCTGGGGAGCAGGACGGGGTCAGGTTTTCATCACTTCACTTTCTCAGGCTGGCAAATCCTTACTCATCCTTCGTGAACTGACTGAGACAGCCAGAGCCTCTGGCCCCCTCTGTTGGCCCCCAGCCCTCTGCACACTGGTCCTCAAAACAGTGCTATCTGCCTTCAGGACGGCGCCCCATCAGACGGTGAGTTCCCAGAGACTGTCTGTCCGCAGCGCTAGTGGTGTTGGCGGAAGAGTGGAGCCAGGCTGAGCCACTGAAGTGCAGCAGCATCCTCCTGATGGCATCTCAGGCTGGCATTGTGGGGTCTGGTGCCCCCATGATCCCCCCACAGGCTCATCTCCCTGCAGCTTCTTTTCCTGTGACTGCTGTGGCTTTGGCCACTTCATGGGGACAGTGGGCCCAGGAACCCTCCTGAGTGGGCAACCACATTAGGGAACAAATCATCCCCCACACAGCTTCTGCTGTGAGACTGGCGCTGCCTGCCATCTGCAAGTCCTCCAAACCACGTCACCACCTGGGGGTGAGAGGGAGGTGAGGGGGAGAGGTGATGGGAGAGCCGGTGAGGGAGGTGTGCCCTTCCCAGCCCTGTGTCTCTAGGATGGTGGTGGCACACAGTGCAGGCTCTCTTCCTCTCGGTCGCGGGCCCCTGCACAGTTGGTGTCCCTCTACCACTGCCCTAGATCACTTGGAAGGGGCCCAGACCCTTGGCCTGAGTGGGGCAACAGCCTGAGGCAGGGGCCTTGCATGATCTTCCTCTGCCAGCTCAGTTCACTGAGGATGCTGGAGTGAGCCACCCAGATCCCCTCCAAGATGGAAGCACTCTCTCCCCACTGCTGGGAGTGTAGGCTTCTGACCACTCGTGGCTGTATCCTTCTCTGGGAAGTCCCCTTAGCCAAAGGAAGCTGCCTTGCCCAAGGCTATGCCCCACCCTGTGCAGAACCCGCATTCAGTGGCTGGTCACAGTGTGGGTACAAGGCCATGTGCCCCTTTGCTTGGATTTGGGACATTTGAAGGGCCACCTGGCTCTCGAGCTTTCCAGCTGAGGTCCTGTTGTGACTGCACCACAGTTCAGCCTCTCTCTGCCCAATCCTTCCCCCTCCTCTCCTAGTAAATCTCCTGCACGTCCATCTCAGAGTCTGTCTCCTGGGAACCCGACCTCCGACGATGCCTCATTTGGCTCATCTGTCATTCCTTCCTCCATTTGTCCATTTCTTCTAGTCATTTCCTGATCACCCACTAGGCCTGACAAATGAATGGACCAAGGAGGACGTCTGAGATCCTTCCCAGAGCTCCTTTTCTGTGGTCTTTAAGGCTCCCCTTCTTAGCAAGCACTGTGTTCCCAGGCGGCAAAAGACAGAAGCAGCCATCCTGTCCTCCAGCCCGGGGGATTCCTGGGGGAAGTGGGCTGTTTGAGTCAGAATCCCCACAGGGACGCTGCAGGGCGCTGGGTAGTCACAGCACGTAGCCTGTGCCAACCCCAAGGTTACATCACGAAAGAAGAAAAGCGAATCTTACCTCTTATTGAGCACCATGTTCCCAAGCTTCAGGTCTCTGTGCACAATGTTTTTCTGGAAAACAACAGGCACATGGTTTGTACCGTGAAGGTGAGAGCCGGGGTTGGGCCCAGCCTGTAAGATGTGGGCTCTCCAGGTGTTGGGAAGGCAGGAAAAAGCTCTGTGACGTGTCTCTTTAGGCTCGGGCCTTGATTTGTAAGCCACAGACAGGTCAGGACCATTCCAAGGCCTCATAACCATGCATACCAGTGGGATGATACGCAAGCCAGGCAGACTCTGCCTACCCAGGGCAGTTCGCCCCGCTCTCTCTCCCCTTGGGGCAGCCCCCAGTGGGGAAAACTACTCCTCTCTCCACCTTCATCAAACATCAAAGCAAAAAAACCCAAACACCTGCGTGGATCTGAGGTCAGAGATGAGCTCTCAGGGTTCTGGTGACCAAGTAATACAGGCTTGGCCTGCAGAAGCTGTTGCCTGGAAGAGGCCCAGGCTCTCCTAACCTGTACCTCGGGGTATGTGACACTCCTAATCCTAGGAACAGCTCAGAGACGGGCTGTGGCTGCCCTGGCGGATATCTCACAGTTGTCACCGAGCTGGGAGACCACAGTTTAGCCTCTCGACTGACAGGGAAATACTGTGCTGGCTCTACTGGGTTGCCTGGGCAGCACCTCACAGGAACGTGGGCTGAGGCCTGCAGCACTGTGTCTCATCTGTGTATTGTCAGCCGGCTACTTTCCTTCTGGACACTCCCAGTGGCAAAGCACACCTGGGTGAGGGTGAGACAGAGCTTCCGCTGAGCAGCAGCAAGAAGGGTGGCCCCTGTGGCACATGGGGCCTAGGACGCTCTCACGCCAGAGAATGAGGGAGCTGAGAGGGGCAGCACGCACCTGGTGCAGGGCTTCCACCACGCGCACCACGTCGTAGAAGATCACCACGGTCTCCCGCTCGCTGAGCCGCTTCTCCTTGATGACATAGTGCTGCAGGTTGATGAGGTCGGCCGTCTTGTCGCTGAAGTCGTGTGCACAGAGACAGTCGAGGACGAGGCAGATGCGCTTCTTCATCTTCTTAACCATTCGGCTGGATTCTGTGTCCTCAACAATTTCACAGGTGCGATCCTGGGAGGCAAGGGGGCAGACTAGGCTTGGCTGTGGGCCCAGCAGGGCCAAGGCCTCTCCCCTGGAGCTGGATACACAAACCAATGAGAGAGCCTGGAACAAGCCTGCATGTGTGTGGCCGGTGGAGGCTTGAGGCCTAGGCAGCATGGAACTTGGGGCCGCTAAGCAATGCCCAGCTTCTAGTGTGCCAACGCCAGGCCCAGCCAGGGGCTGAGGTTTAGGCTCCAAGCTTTGATGCTAACACAAAGGGTTCAGATCAGGGCTGGGCACTGAAAGGCAAAGGGCCCTCTGAGCCCAGTGTACAGGCAGCAAACCCAGGGCTCTGGGGCATCTCCCCTCCATGGAACTCCCAGGGATTCCAGCAAGGACTAATGTCAACTTCCTTCCAATGCCCAAGATGATGGAAGTTAAGTGTTCTGTGTGTCCGAGACAACTGCTTTCACGTGGAAGCAGGACTCGTGGGCAGCCACGTAAGAGTATAGCTCTGGTCCCCAACGGCTGGGTCCGGGCCCCAGCTCCACCTTGTCCTAGCTGTGGGACCTGGGGCAGTTCTCCCAACCTGTCCCAGCTTCTGGGTCCTCATCTGCAAAGGGAGTTGGCAACCCCGACCTCGCAGGTTGTTGAGAACAGGACGACCCATGCTAAGTGCTTAGTTTGGACTCAGCCAGGGCTCAGTAAGTGGGTACTGCTACCACCACTGCAGCTGCAAGCTCTGGACCCATTTTCCTTGCTGAAAAAGGATTTCCAGTAAGATAAAAAAAAACAGGTACAACACAGGGACTTTTATCCTCCTAGCTCGAGGAGGCCCTCGGTGTCACCCCCAGCACACTGACGGTCGCCTCTGGGAACTCCTGGGGACTGAATATTCACATTTGTCCTTAATAGCAGGATCACACTTCTTATTCTCTCTTCGCCAGAGGCCCAGCACAGCGTCTGGCACACAGATGACTCTAGAAATACTTCTCATCACCTGGGTTCTCTTATCCAAAACGACAGAAACCATGGCCACGCTCTGGAAGCCATGAGAGAGAAAATACTAAGAAATCACAATCGCCCTCAGTTTGATCTCATGTTTAAGGGAAACTTGTTCATTTTCAGAGTTGCCTCTACTTGCACATCTAAGAATAAAGACCTCGGTGGGGTGTATGTGTGGGGGTGGGAGGCATTTTCCATTTATGTCATTTCAGGAAATCAAGCTGACAAGGAGTTCTTGTTGCCTGAAATAACAACCATGATGACGGTGTAGCAGGGGCCGCTGGGTGCTTCATGCTCTCTCATTCATCCTCCCAGCCCCCTTATGAGGTAGGTGCCATTATCATTATCCCCATTTTACGATGAGGAGTCTGAGGCTTGGGACCTGAAGTGATTCGCCCAAGGTCACACAACCTGAATCCAGGACTGCCAGCTCCAAAACCTGTGTGCCCTCCCTGCACCAGGCTGCCTCTCAAGTGCCAGGTCCATCCTGGCCAGCATGGGCCCTGGCCAGTGCATCTGGCTGAGGCTCTGCAGAAGCTCTGCTGGGGGAGGCCTAAGCACAAGCCCCCTGGGCCTGCTGAACCTGGCTCTTCGTTTCTGGAGACACACTGCGGTCCTGCCCCGAGGAGGGCTCTTTAGGGGACAAGTTGCTAATTGGTACCTTTCCTAAGGGACCCGGAACATTTGAGCTCGGGGGCTCAGGGACACTTATGAACAAACTGAAATGCCTGGGCAGGCAAAAGGAATGTTGATACCAAAAACAACCGCAGAGATGTACAGTGGCCCCAAATGCCCAGTCTTCCTCATTGCCCTCCCTTCCACCAGGCCCTGGCCAGTTCCTGACAACACAACTAGAAACAGCTTGTGTGTCTTTAAATGACTTCCTGCTTTTCTCTTTTCTCGGAAAAGCAGCTCTTCAAAGACAGCCTGGAAGATGCAAACTGTGTGCATTCCCGCTAGGCTGTGACCATCACAGCAGGAGTGCTGGAGCAGCCAGTGTCACCCCAGCCTGACACCCAGCCCACCCGCCTAGCAAGTCCTGCCGCACCCAGCATGCAGGGAGACCAGGGGGTGGTGAGCTGCTCAAAGGAGAGATGTGGCCCCAGCAAGTGCCAGGCCTGGGAGCCTACTGGGGGGAGTGGGGCATCCGGGGGAAGAGGGGACAGGCAGCTCCCTCTGCCACTCACCTGGAAGAGCCCGTGGTGGTGAACCACGCCGTCCTGCGTGTGGAGGAGGGAAAGCAGAGAGTACTCGGTGTGTAACAGCATCTTGCCTTGCCTCTCCTCCTGGCTTTCTATTCCTTGGTCCCCCCTCTCCTCAAGGGTAAGGATCTTTAGGAAGGTGCACACACACACAAAAAACAAAAACCCAAAAAACTTTACTTTACAAAGCAGAACGACTAGAACAGGCAAAGCAAGGGTTCACGTTCTACCACGCAACCCTCGCACACACACTCACACATGCACATACAAAGTGAAACAGTTTTTCTTAATGTGATGGCAATGTAATTTATGCACAGATAAAGCTCTTTAAATCAGGAGCTGTTCAGAGCGAGACTGTGAACTTGATTGCTTCCTGGGAAGAAACGGCGCTATTCTTTTACACAAGGGTGTAGGTATGAAGGTGGAGAGGAAGGAGCCGGGCTGGCAGGACGGCCCCTGGGTCCCCAGCCTCCCCCACTCCTGGTGCCTCACTTACCTTCAGCTGATAGAAGTCATCTGTGCCATCTTTCCTCGCCAAACACTGCACAATGCTTGGCACCGGTGAATTGCCCAGACGGGGACCTATGGCACAGAGAGCCACTGGCTTACTTTTCAGAAGCCCTATCTATCGTGGCACCATGTCACCAAGTGGTCTTTTGGCTAGATCTTCTCTTCAGGGGAGCACCACAGTTCACAACCACTGAACTCACCCCTCAAAGTCTCCTGGTGGAGAGCTCTCACAGTCTTCCCCCTCAAAACGAAGGGGTATGCGTGCATCAGCCTAAGGTACACCTGGCTTTTACAGGTACATTTCTAAAAAAGAGGGGTGTTCAACGGTGGGTGCATGTTGGAATTTCTGAGGAGCATGTGTTAAAAAAAGAGATCCCAGCTGCAACCTGGACCCTCTGAATCAGCAACCCTAGGGCGAGGGTCCAGGAAATGATAGCTTTAACAGGTGCCCCTGGTGGTCTGATCCAGCCACCTGGCCCCTGTCCAATACCAACTTTTGGGAGCTCCTGTACTTCTGGAGATGTACACTGCTCGTTGTCCTGTGACAGCCTGCCATAGGTTTCAGAGCATAAATCAGATAATGTCACAGTGTCACTGCATTGCTAAAAACCCTTAACAGTGCTCCACTGCTCTTAATATATAATCGAAACTCCTTTTTTGGCCTCCAAGGTCTTGCATGATTTGGTTCCTGTCCACCTTTCTGATTATGTTTCCCCACACCCCTCACCATATTCTAGCTACACTGGGCTCTTAATTCCTAAGATGTTAAGCCCTTTCTTGCCTCTGGGCCTTTGCACTTGCTGTTCCTTCTGTCTGGAATGCTTTTCCCCTGCTTTTCACATGGCTGGCTCCTTCTCATCCTCCGCTGTCAGCTCAAATGTCACTTCCTCACATGGAACCTCCCTTGTCTACACTATCTCTAGGCCCTTCTGACTCTCACATCATCTTGTTTACTTTCATGGAGGCACTTACCGCCCCCGGTGATGATCTTGTGTATTGTTTACTCTGTTTCTTTTTCCAACTATAGTCATGCGTCACTTAATGACGGGGATACGTTTTAAGAAATGCGTTGTTAGGTGATTTCGTCGTTGTGCAAACATCACAGGGTGTACTAACACAAACCTAGATAGTATAGCCTACCACACACCTAGGCTCTATGGTACTAATCTTATGGGACCACCATTGTAGATGCTGTCCATCATTGACAGAGATGTCATTATGGGGCATGTGACTGGAGAATGTTAAGTTCCGTGAGGGCAGGAACCTGTCTTATTCACTGCTACATCCCTACAAACAGCACAGGCATGGCGCATAGTAGGCACCATCAACTAGTTGCTGAATGACTGGAGGTGGAACTATCCTGTGCCCATAAGTCCAAGATGTTGTCACAAGGCAAAACTCACACCCCGACTCTGGCTGCTAGGAGAGTTGGGGTCCTCAGAGCCCAGTCCACCTGCAAAAACCCTGAGCACAGCAATCTGGACTTGCCAAGCCTCTACAACACTCAGAAAGGCCTGCTGCTCCCCTGGCCCACTAGGAACACCCAACTCGACAGGATTTCTGTGCTGATTTTACAGGAAGTTTGGGGGGCTATACTAAATGCTTTGTGAAATTAACCATGCCCTCCCAGAATGGTCACAGAAGTGCCTTGGATGATGGACCCTCTAACGCAGCTTGTGTACGTCGCAGGGGCAACATCCTGGGAGCACACAGGATTCTCTGGGGCAAGAGACAGCCTAGCTCTGAGCTGAGACTGATTAAAGGCTGGTGCAGCTACAACAAAATGACAGCTCTTGGTACAGAGTGACCTAAGTCTCCAGATCTTCCACTGGCACAAACAGACTACATTTAAAGTGGGAAAGCTGGGTCCAGGCCGAGGTTGGTCAGGACCCCACACTGTGGTGGGTGTGGCACTGTGCCTGTCCACAGGTCAGACTGTGCACGCTAAGGCACCCGCCCCTGCCCCCGGCACCCCCACTCACCCTGTGGTCAGAGGCTTACCCAGGATGAACGGTCCAGCTCTCTTTGCATTATTTCCGGAAATCCCACTTCCTAGAGCCTTCGCCCTGGCCGACGTTTCCCCAGCTCCTCTGTCTGATGCTCTCCGCTTCATTCTCAGCTCTAGACAAGACAGAAAGCTCTCTCTCACTGAGCAAGTCAGCGAGTTTCCTTACGTTAACCCAGCCTGCAAGTCTGTGACTCGAGGATGCGTCACACAGCTGCTGCTGCCGCCGCCTCCTCCCCCTCCCGGAGGAGCATCCAAGGTTCCCAGTGACAAAGAACCACGGCTCCTTTACTTGGGATTAATGAGGGACTAAAGGTAGATGTACTCTGAGGTAGCATGTACTGGCTATGGAAGGGGGAAGCCAGCCCGCCACAGAGACAGAGAGGAGAGCCAGCACTGAAGCGACTGCTTCCAAAGTGAGGCCTTCCTCCCAAACACCGACAGCCCAGTGGCCCAAGGTGCTGATTCCTGGGTCCCACGGTGCCCCTACTGATCTGATCTCTGGGGCGTGGTGGGGAGCAGGCCCTGGGAAATGGCATGGCGACCATGAGGCCCGGGGATTCTTATGCCCACGAAGCGTGAGGATGACTGTCCTGGGATCTCCTCTCAAACCCTCCTTGACTCATCGGTCCTCCAGGTGGAAGATCCCCCCAAAGCTGTCAATGAGGGGGTTACTTTCTCTTCTCTCTCTCCTATTTTCACATTTTTCTTTAATTACTTTAAAAATATATATATTGTACATTTAAGAGCCAGTTAAAAGACACCAATGGAGACTGCTGAGCACTTTGATTTGCCTGGTAATCCCTATCTGCTCCAGGGTTAAAATGAAAGGTGGACACAGGAGCCAGACTCTAGAAGACATTAACCTCTAGACATAGATTAAAAAAACAAAAGAGAGGGGTCGGGCCAGTGGCATAGTGGTTAAGCTTGCGCAGTCCGCTCTGGCGGCCCGGGTTAAGCGGACCTATGCACCACTTATCAAGCTATGCTGTGGCAGGCGTCCCACGTATAAAGCAGAGGAAGATGGGCATGTATGTTAGCCTAGGGCCAATCTTCCTCAGCAAAAAGAGGAGGATTGAAACGGATGTTAGCTCAGGGCTAATCTTCCTCACCAAACAAAAACAAAAACAAAAACGAGTTGCTCCTTCTAGCTCTCTACAGTTAACACCTGGGGAGCACAGTGTCCTGAAGGTGGGGCGAGGAGTCAGAAGTACACAGACGAGCTCCACACAGGGAAGACAGAGGGTCACAGGGATGCTCAGGGGCGGCCGGCTGCCCAGTCCCGAGGAGAGGCCCCCGGCCCAGTGTGGGTGAGGGGGCTTAGGGAAAACTTCCCTGAGGAGGTGATGCTGGAGCGGGCCGGGCAAGGGGCGAGGTCATTCCAGGCAGAGGGGCCTGGGTAAGCAAACGTACACAGGTAAGAAATGGCGCATAAGCAACGGACGCCAAGCAGCTGGTGGGGTTGGAGTGTGTGGCATGAGGCAGGGAGGGGCAAGAGGTGACCCAGACCTAGATGGCCTGAAGGCCACGTCAGGAGTGTAGCCTGTACCCTCCCACAGAAGGCTTAGGAACACTGCACCCTAGACTTCTGCATAATTTTTTCTTCATACAAAAGCAATTGCCATTTCCTGCAAAAACATTAGAAAATATACATATGCAAAAATAAGAAAATAATGTATCCATAATCTCACCACCCTGATGCATCTGCTGTTAACATTCAGCAGACTTTCCTGTGTGGACGTCTGTATGTGTGTGCACTTGTATATAGTTTGCATTATGACAAAAATTTTGAGCACACTGTGATACCATTTTGTAAGCTTCCTTTTCTCCCACCTAAAATACATTATGAAGGTGAATTTTATGGTAGGTGAACTATATCTCAGTACAAAACAAAATACCATAATTACCATCGCTGCATGACAATATTCTTCTGTAGCATCGCTTGAAATAGCTACAAGTAGTCTCCTTGGTAAGAATGTACAGTTATCATGATTTATTGGACCACATCCCTATTTATGGAATCCAGGTTCTTTCCATTTCTTATATTTTTTTATTAGCAGTTAATGCACCTACATCTTGGCATACTTGTCTCTCTCCCTCAGGATGAATTCCAGGAAGCAGAACTGCAGGGTCAAATGGGGTGCACATATTTAAAGGTGTTGAACATACACTGCTGGGCTGTTCTCAGGGACGCTGTGTCAACTGATATCCCATCAGCAGTGTGGGTGACTTAGTCCCAGAAACTGCACCAGAACTGAGTATTTCCTTATTTTTTAAAAACTGCCAATTTGATGGGTAATAAAAAGTATGTCATTGTTT